CCCCGTGCTTCCCACGCAGGGATGCGCCACACGGCATCGCCCAGCACCGCCTTTGCCCCCGGCCCTTTGCGCAACGCTGGGGCTGTGGCACGGAGCTGGATCAGCACACGCAAGCAGGGCCGGGAGGGATGGGGACAGCAATGGGGATTGGAGCTTTATTAGAAACAGGAGAGGGGAAGAGGGGTGAGGAGACGTTCCCAGGGGTCGGAACTGCACGGCACCGCCGGATTGGAGCTGTTGAGTGTTTCCATTCCATTCAACTATTCACAAATAAATACCGGGGAGGGAGCAGAACGAGCAGAGCTGCAGGGGAGGGTGAGGGGTGCAGCACCGGGTGTGAGGTCAAAGTGAATCAAAAACAGTTATAAAAAAAGAAAAAACAACAACAACAACAACAAAAAGCCACCAGAAAACATCAAACTCAAAGGATGGGGTGCTCCCCAACATCCCGCTGCTCAGTGCACCCCCACAGCCACAGGGAGGGGGAGGGAGGGGGGGACACGGGGCAGGTACAGGGGAGCAGGGGGACACAGGGCCACGGGAAAGGCATGGGGAAGGGCAGGGGGGGCTGGAGCCGTTGTGGGGAGATGGTTGGTGGCGTGCGTCACTCCCGGATGTACACTCTGGTGCAGACAACATCATCAGCTGTCATGGTCTGCAATAAGGAGCACTGGTCACAGCCCTATTCCAAGAGTTTCTCAGCATGCACCCCATCACCGTCCAACCCCCCCTTTGCCCCCCACTCACCAGGATGAGCTCCCCATCATTGGTCAGCTCTCTGGACCAGCCCGTCCGGGGTCCCTCGCCCTTCAGCAGCCGCTGCTCACACACCATCTTGTTCTCACTCTCCCACTTGGCCAAGCTCTATAGAGAAGAGAGAACAGCACTGGTTGGGAGGTACAGGGGGGGGGAGAGGGGAAGCAGCCCCCAGCCCCATCAGGCACTACGATCCATCACCACCAAACAGATGGGGCCGTTTGCCCCCACAGCCTGCAGTTGCTGGACACGTGTATCACCTGGGGGCAGGGGGAAGGACTGCATGCTGGATGTGTGCACACGTTCACACACACAGCAGTGAGCGCACACACATCCATGCACACAAACGGGTGCAGCTCAGCCCACCTTGCAGGGCCGCCCGTCCACCGTTTGCTCCTCGAACTCCTCCCCGATCCTGAAGCTGATCTCAGTGGTGCGCACGGTGGTCGAGGTCTTGATGTAGAAGCTTTCACCGTCCTGCTTGATCTCCACCGCTGGCTTCGAGGCCGCAGCCACCGCGATCTTCCGCAGCATCATGTTAACGCCTGCAAGCAGGGACCGGCGTCAGAGTGACCCCTCCCCACATCCCAGACCGCCCAGCCCGGTGTGTGACCCATGGAGGGGAGGTTAAGTGCCTCTCGGGACGGCGGTGACGACGACCCCCGGCTGTGTTCCAGAGCTGCGCTGAGCTACAGATGCTGCTGCTTTTCTATGGAATTGGTTGCAGATGGGGGGCACGAGGTCGTGCAAACACTCCCCCCTTTCCCCCCCTGCACTCAGGGCTCGATGCCATAAGCCCCTGCAGAGCACACAGGGGGCACGTGGCTGCCCCCCGCCCCCCACTCCACGACTTGGCAGTGACACAGCTTGGGAGGACCCCGAGCTCTGCAGACAGCACAACATGGAAGGAGGGTGTGTGTGTGTGTGTGTGTGTGTGTGTGTGTGTGTGGGGAGGGGGGGTTGGGGGGGTGCATGAACCCCCCTCTGCACATCTGGGCCACATCTGGTGCTCGTTACCTTCAGGCAGGGGGGAGCTGTGCGGGCTCCGGATGTGCCTGAGGGTGATGGGGAGGCGCGCGGGGTGACAGCGGGGACACGGCGCAGGGCTCCCGCCCTACATCTGGAGGCCAAGGGGGGGGGGTCTCACACCCATCATTACACCCTCGCAGCCCCCCTCCCTTCTTGCTAACCACAATGCAGCTGTTGCTTTGTCCCCACTCCCCTACGGGCTCATCCATCACAGCCTGAGCCCTGGGCTGTCACCCAGGCAGCCCCGCTCCCCAGGGAGCTGCTCTTTGGGGACATTGTTCCCATGGTGTGACCCTCGGGCAGCTGAAGGCAGCAGGTCGGCTCTTGGCCAGGACCCCACTGCCCCCCTCCCCAATCCCATCCAGCTCCACGTGCCCCCAGGGATTGGGGGGAGGGCAGGAAGCCCCCGCAGACAGAGCAGAGCATCCCTGGAGGAGATGGAGCATCCCTAGAGGAACAAACCCTGCACCGGGGACAGATGCATCCATGTGGGGCTGTTCCCACCGTGATGCTAAAATGCAACGATTGCACCTTCCCCTGTGTGGGCATGAGGACAAAGTGTCCCCCTAAGGCAGTTAGGAGCCACGGGGGTGGCACAGTGCCTCCGGGGGGAGGGGAAGGGGTGGGTTTCACCCAGGGCCGGGGGTTGCAGGAGCCTCATGCGCTGCGTGGGAAAGGCAGAGTGCTGCGCTGTGCCCGACAGATTGATTTTCCTGATGAGGTTTCCCCGCACCACTTCACCGGCGGTGATGGAGGGGAGAGAGGGAGGAGGAGGGGGCGAAGAGGGAGTGAAATCCAAGAAAGTGATAATTATACTGAAGTATTTGTTACGTATCCCCTAACTTGGAAAATATTCCGCTCCAGCGACTCCTTGGCGGGTGGGGAGGGGTCAGGCAGAGGAGAACAGCAGGGGGGGGCCCCAGTCCTGCCCAAAACCTGGGACCCCCTTGGTGTCCCCATGCACAGATTCCAGCTGAGGACCCGCAGTGCTATGGGGGTGGGAAGTGGGGGACAAACCAAGCCCTGCAGCCCGGGGTTTTGGGGTACCACACTCCATCCCATTGAGTGCGACCAGGGTGTGGGATGTGGGGTGCTGGGGGGGGGGGGGGGGGGGGGACCCGGCCCAGGGGGGAAAGCCGGGGGAGCCTGGGGGTGTGCAGCCCGGGGTTACCACTGCGGTGGGGAAACTGAGGCAGGCAGAAGAGAGGCGAGGGGCTCTCAGGCTGCAGCTGAGGGGGGGGATCCGAGCTGTGCCTCAGTTTCCTCACGAGGAAGAGGAATGGAGCGGGCTGCGAGACGCAGGGGTAGGGAGAAGCGGGGTCGGGGAGCTCTCCCGAGCCCTGGAGGCTTTACGTGCAATCGCCGACCCGCACTGCTGGAGGGATCCGGGGGGCGATGGGAACCGGACTCCCCCCGCTCCTCACCCATCCCGGGACTCGCACTCACCCAACGCTTTCAGCAGCTCTTCGAAGTTCTCCGAGCTCTTCATCTTCCAATTCCCGGAGAAATTGGGCATCGCGGCGAGCGGGGGGCACCGGGAAAGTGGGAAATGGTGCTAAGGAGGAGCAGGTGGTAGAAACGCACCGAGGGGCACCGGCACCTCCGCTCCGTCCGCTCCGTCCGCTCCGCCGGTACCGGCACCGCCGCTCTCCCGCCCCGCAGCCGCTCAATCGGGCTCCGGCCCCGCGCCGCCGTTTTATGGCCGGGCTCACCCGCTCCGCCCCCGCCCCGGCCCCGCTGCCGGCGGAGCCCCGCGCTCCTCTCACCTGTGGGGCCGAGCACCGGGACGGCCCCGGGGAGGGGAGGGGGAGGGGGGGGAACGCAGGCGGGGGTTGAGGGGTACGGGCACCCCTCCATCGTCCCCAAATCTTCCATCGTTCCCCCAAAACTTCCTTCGTTCCAGAAAACCTCAATTCGTTTCCCAAAACTTGCAGCATCTCCCAAAACTTCCAGAACCTCTCAAAACTTCCCACGCGCCCCCCAAAAACTGCCCTCATTGCCCCCAAAATTAGGCGCCTCCCAAACCACCTGCATCTCCCTAACCCAAGCATCCCCCCTATAACTCCCCACCACGGGTAAACCTGCCCGCTCAGCCCCGATCTGCCCTCATGCCTGCATCCCCCCCAAACTGCCCACATCCCCCCAAAGCTTCCCACGTCCCCCCTACATCCCTGTCATCCTCCAGCTGTCCAAATCTCCCCAATACCTCTCGCCTCACCCAATCAATCTCCATCCTCCCGGTTTCTCCACACCTCCCCAAGACTTCTCACACCCCCCAAATCTGCCTGCAGCCCCCAAACAGCCCTGGGGATGGATTATTGCCCAGCCCTGTGCCCGCTGGGTGCTTTGCATGTGCTGGTGTGTGCCAGGTGTGCACGGCTCTGTGCGCGCACACGCATGTGCGTGCAATGTGTTGCATGCATGTGTGCTTGCAGCGTTTGTGCACGTGTGCAGCTGTGCTCAGCCCCACTCCATCCGAGCCCCATGCCCAGAACAGAACCCTCTGGTCTGCGCGAGGCTGAGGAAAGTTTGCTTTGGCTGCAGGCCGGTGGAAAGCAAGATTAACTGCTAATGTGAGATTAAAGCCCTGATAGATTGGGTCTGCTCAGAGCGTGATGAATTGTTTGCTGGGGTTTCTCTCTGGTGAGATGCCTGAGGAAGGAGCTGCGTGGGGCACATTGTGCCGTGGTGCCATCCCAGCACTGCACAATAAATGACGTTTGGGTCACTGGCAGCCCTGAAACGGAGGGAGATGGATTTTGTGGGTGAAAACAGACTTCCGTGCAGTGGTGGACGCCCTCAGTCGTGTCCATGCTGCCACTGTCCCCATTGTCCGCAGGAGAGCAGACTGCCCCAAGGGTCCAAGGTTTGGCACGTTTGGGGTACATAGGGCACCCAACAGCTGGAGATCTCTCTGCACAGCCCCGTGTGAACCAGCAGTAAAGCTGAGCTCATTGCTCACAGCTTGGCAATTGCCTTCCAGCTCCCTCCTGCCCATCGGGAAGATCCTGAAACCCCTCTTACTGAGAGAGCTGCCTCCCCTCCTCCTGGCCCCGGCTTCCTCACCCCCAAATTTCTGGGCTGTGATTTTCGTGAGCCAAGCCCTGGCTTGCAGCATGCCTCTAATCCCCCGAAGAACAGGATTTGTAACAAAGGGCTGACATAACCTTACCTACAGCGTTGCCGATGCTCCGTGGGCTGCAGGACGGGAAGCATGGGGGAAAGGAACAAACCCCACACTGCACCCAACCCCATGCACCCCCAGGCAGAGCTGGAGGGGTCTGACAGGGGGTCACCACCGTCCCTTTTCATCCTCGTGTAACAGGATCTGTGTCCCCTCTGGCACAGGGGGGATGAATGATGCTGAACGTTTACCCCCATATTTGGAGAAAGAGTGAAAAAAAAAAATGCCACATTTCCAGGAGAACCGGCTGCAGGGGAGCACGGGTGGGGTGCTGGCAAAGCTGCAGACCCTCACACTGAGCCCCCAGGACGCAGCTGGGCAGAACCCCCCAGGCAGCCCCACATCTGGAAGGAATTGTATGGGGAAGGGTGGATAAACCCTCTCTCCGTTCCCCTCTTCCTGGCCCACGAAACTCCGGCTCCGGCTGCAAACCCGCGTGGGGCCGCTTGTCCCAGGATGGCTGAGCACAGAGACGGGGATTACACTGGAGCCACGGAGCTCCCACAGCCCGGCTGCACAGCTGGATGAGCCACTGGAAACAGCTGGCACTGCAATGCACCACAGCAATCCCAGCAAACTGCAGCCATCTGAGCACCACTGCAGCCCCCCCAGTGCCCCCCAGCCGCGTGGAGTGACAGCAACGATGGCTCTGAGCCCCTCACAGGGAGCACAGCGGTGGCACAGCACCCATGGGACCCCACAGTGGTCCCCACTGGAGCCCCTACCCCCCTGCTGTTGCCCCCCCCCCTACCCCCCAGGAGCTCCATTAAGCATCTGCCGACAAGATGGGGCCGGACCGCATGGTTCTCATTTCCAGACATAAAAACTTTTTAACGGTCGGCCATTTATAACCCAGATTGTAAACTCCCACCCCATTTTAATTGCTTCCAAACGCAGCCAGACACAAAGGCACCCGGCCTCTCCAATGCCTCCTCACCTTCCTTTGTGCTTGGGGCCACAACAGCTCTGTGATGGACACGCACTGCATGAGGCACACATGCATGGCTGCTTGGTAGCGTGCTGCCCGCTTGTCTTCCTCCCCCCACTGCGTAGCTTGGGCATCCCTCACTGGCACAGTGAATAAAACCTCAGTGTTTAAACACAAAACGAATGGCTCCCCCTAGAATTCCCCCGTCTTTGCTGTCTGGCCCAATCCTTTGCATCAGGGCCCCTCTGTCCCCTCCTAGTGACCCAGACGTCCCCAAACCCAGCAGATTTTTAACGAGTGTCTCTCGCTCAGCCGCTCTCGTCACGCAGCCAAACATCTGGAGGTTGGGAAGTGTTTTATTCCGGCCACGATTGTCGCTCCCACCCCTTATCCCTGCCTGGGACATGCTGAGAGCTGAGTATAACAGCATAAACACCCCAAAACACTGGAAAATGTGACGTGCATTCAGGCCAGTCTCATTCAGCTACGCATGGGGATGCACCGGCCAGGCTGGCTGCACTCCCAGGGTCTGCTCAGTACCGGCATCACCCACCAGCTGGAGCTGTAGTGATGGAGGAGGTGCACAGGGATAGCAGCATGGGCTGGGCATGTTAGTTTTGGCTGCCCCACTCCTCATGCAGGGAAGGGAGTGAGAGCTAAAGCTCTCTCCTGCTGCCACCCCAGCAGGACTCTGGGTGGGCAGAACCTATGGCCAAGGGAAAAGCAGCAGTGGGGGCTCAAGGGTAAGTAAGATCTAGCTGGTTTCCAGTCCGCTCTGCCCTGGGCACGGCACATCCACCAGCTAGAGACAGTGCCAGTGTGTTGTTTTCATCCTGCTGTTAAGAGAGAGCACAACCTACCTTAAGCCCAGCAGTGCTGGGATCAGGACCCCCATTTTGCTCCCCAAGCCCTTCTGCTCTTCCACTCCCAGTCTCTCTCCATGACGGGGCTCAGGTGCAGATAAGGACAGATAAGGCTCAGGTCCAGCTGGGGACAGCTCTGTCCACACAGCCCAAAATAAGGGGAGGAACCTTGGGCTCTGCACACTGTTCCCAACAATGCTGGAACTTTGCAGAGCCCTGGCTCATACCTGGGCATGAAGAAGAGGCGTAGGAAAGGTCAACACAAAGCAGCTGCTGGCAGGTGGTGGGTGACAGCTCACAGCAGTCACCCCAGGCATCAAGGGCCTGCTTGGAGCCCAGGGGGAAGGAGCTCTGCTGCTCTGCACCAGGCATGGGCACCTCTCCTGTCTGTGCAGCCCTGGTCACAAAATGGGGTCACAAAAAACAATATTTAGAGCTGAGGGAGCAGCCCATGCCTGCAGTCCCATTCAACCCATTTTGGGACTTACCGTGTCGAGTCTGGCACCCGCTCCTTTGCAAACCCTTCCCCAGCCTTCTCCTGAACTGCTTTGATTTCAAACAACATCAAGATTTCACACAGAGCCTGCAAGCTGGAGATGTGGGAAGTCCCTCCTGCTTCCCCTGTTGCTGCATACACAGCCATGCTTGGCAATTTAGAACACAGGGGGACAGACATGGTCATCGTATGCCCCACGGGTGCAGGCTGCACCGCTCCCTGTGCATTCGGGGTTAAGCATCTTCCCCAGGGCTCTGCAGCCAAAAGGAAGTGCTTGTTAATAATTTCTTTTTAATGGGCATTTTGAACATTAACATTTCACTTCAAAGCTGTTCCACGGTGGGCTGACCAGAGCAGACCGAGAACTCGGGACGCGTTCAAGAGTTCAGCAAATACACGTCGGTGTTCAGAGGTGTCTGTAAAGGACACAGCGTCCCCGGTGGCAGAGACAAACAGATGGGGACAGTGGTCCCACCCCAGCCCCCGCAGCAGCACTTATGTAAAAAGAGGAAGACAGCACTCAAATCCCGTAGGGGAGCAGCTTCCAGGTGTGCAGGGACTTCCCAGCTGGCAGGACCTGCCTCAGCCTGCTTTGTATCCCGGAACCCTGTGGCAGTCGTGGCCTCTGCTGGTCCTTGTCAGAGGTAGTTGTGAAACATGGGAGGCAACTGGCCTGAGGGCCTGAAGGATTGCTCCTTGGGTCTGGATTCTGTGCTCAGGATGAGCCTAGCTGGTATGGCTCCAGTGCTGTACCCAGAGCAGTTTCTGACCCCTCTCTGCCCATAGCTGGGCAGAACCCATCCATAAGGGTCCCCCAGCTGCCCTCCTAGGAATGCTCTTCCTGGTACAGCCAGGCTTGGGTACCCCAACATCACTGGGGTCCCACAGGGCTCTGACAGCCCAGAACTGCTCTGGGACTGGATAGACCCCCAGAAGGCACAGGTGGCCCTTGCTCTCCCCACATCTCTGGTGGGGTACATAGCACAGTATAACAAAGGCAATGCAATGCTCAGAGTAGGGAGAAAGAACAGTCATAACTTGATAATGCTACTATCTCCACTACCAGTGAGCTAGAGTGCACCACAGCACTTGCTGCCTCTGCTCATCCTATTCTTCCTCCCACTGGCTCAAGGCTCTGTGACCCATGAGGACTGGGTTGGACTGTGAGGGCAGTCACTTCTGCTCAGAGTTCAGTATCAAGTGTTGCTCCCACTCTGCCTCCACGATCTTGTACAGCTCCATGGTTGTCCTGGCGTCCTCCACTGAACAATGTCCACTTTTGCCAACCTGTTGGGGACAGTGACAAAGAGTTGGAATGGCCCAGGGCACTGCTGAGAAAGAAAAAGCCCCAGTGACATTCTCAGCTGCTGGCTCTGCAGCTGAACTGCTCTTGCAAGAGGTCTTTCAGAGAAGAGACCAAGGTACAAGGCAGTGACTGACCTTGGGATTCCCCAGCCCCAGGATGGGAAATAACACACCTCTGTCCCCTACCCAAGCACAGATTGCAAACAAGCAGGACAAACCTCCCCACAGCCCCTTCACCATGCCTGTTTGTCCCCTAGGCTCCTTAGGGACACCGGGAAATTTCTTGCCCCAGAAGTGACTTCGTAGCAGCCTCAGACCTGGATATCTTTGCGCAGCAGTTTCTTAGCGAAGTTCTTCAGGGAGACGGCCTTCTTCTCGGGGAACCCACCCTTCTGGTTCAACAAAGGGATTTTGGATGTGTCGCGGATGAGTGCTTTGGGGTGGAAATACTTGAGAGCCATGAAGTCGTTGTGTACGGCGTGGCCGACCACCACCTTTCCGGAGAGGATCTTCAGGATCTGGGGAGGGAAGGAGGGAGCATTAGAGCAGGCCTCAGTGCACCATGCTGCCCATTGGAGCATCCTATCCCAGAGCAGAGTGGTGGTCGTGCCCAGGAACATGGGTCTACCCCGCTACCAGTGGGAATCACAGCTGAGGGCTGTGATGTAGGACTGAATGGGAGCAGCAGAGGCATGAGGTGACATCCCCTCTGCTGCAGGATGGGGACTGGGATGTGGGCAGTCCTCACCAGCATGCTCTGACCTCAGCAGTCCCCCACCCACCCACCCGAGTCAGCCCCCAAAGCCCACCAGGAGCACAGTCCCCCTTCCCTGCCCCATGGCCACACCACCCCCAACATCACACCTCTTTCTGAGCCTCCCAGAAGGGGACAGCGTTGAGCATGTGCTTCTTGCAGATGCCGCTCCAGCGGCTGCGATAGTCCACGATGGGCTCTGTGGGCCGCACGTAGCTGTCGTACAGCACATCGCCCTCATAGTTCACAATGCTACAGCGGGCCAAAGCGCTGGTTTGCCCACGAAACCCGGTGCCCACCATCTCACAGTCGATAGCCACGAACTTGCTGGGCGCTGGGGGCAGCCCGGAGGCTCGCACGGGGCCCTGCGTCCCTTTTTTTGCTCCCTGCGTCCCTTTGGCGCCCGTTTCTTGCGTGGTGCTGCGAGCTGAGGGCTCCCTGCCGCCGGAGGACCCGGGGGGATCTTTCCCTTCGTGCTCCTCCCGCTCCCCGCCGTCCACCTTCAGCTTCCTCTTCCTGTTGCGCTTCTTTGGGCGGCCTCCTCCGGGCTGCGGGGCCGCCTGGCGCTCTTTCTGCCCGAGCGCACGTTTCCGTTCCAAATACCGTCGCCTTAAGAAGTTCCTATGCTTACGGTTCCCGGCCGGGACGCGACGGGCGGGCTCGACGACCCCAAAGGTGACGTTGAGGATGAGGTCTGACATGCTGAAGCCGGCAGCGCCCAACGCCCCCCTCTCAACCAACGGAAGCAGAAACTGCCGGCAACGGAAGAGCGTCTGCAACTACGCGCATGCGCGCCACCCGCACGCAGCCCGTGCGCCTGCGCAGTGGGGTGATGGCAAAACTGCGCATGCTCTCTGGACGCCCAGCGGTCGGTTACGCATGCGCGGCGGGAACGCGGAGGGGCCGGGCGGTGAGTGGCGCATGGGGCCGCTCTGGCCCGCGGGAGGGGCGTCTCTATGGCCCTGGAATACCTGGGTGGGGGGTTTGGCTTATCTCATGACATCGCGACCCTGTTGTGTCACGGATCTGTGATGTCACGGGTGCAGGTAAAGAGCTGTGGCTATGAATGGTGTCACAGCCCTGTGGCATGGCACTGAAGGATGTTGTGGCTCTTTGAGGTCATGGACAGGCAGGGGGTTGGCATCCCTGGATGATGTCATACCCCCAGAGTAGGGGTCTCTGAGTGACATCACACCTTCAGGTGACATCACAGCGTGACATCACAGCCATGGCAGGTGCCCCCTGTCCCCCCCTGCACTGGGAACAGCAGCAAGCAGCAAACATCGTCCGCCTCCTGTCACTTTACCGACCCCTCCTTGACTCCTACATCATTGTGAGTGTCCCCAACGTGTCCTCCATGTCCCCAGCATGTCCCCAGCCCCGTGTCCAGCAACTCTCACTCCCCACAGGACTTCTTCACTGAGGGGCTGTGGGCAAAGCTCCCACCAACCTGGCAGACAGCCCTAGAAGTGGCAGACCCCCCGCAGCTGGCAGCCATGCTGCTGGGGACTGGGGGCATGGTGGGGCAGGGCACGGTGTGGCCACTCTCCCTGCTGGCCTTCACCACTGCTGTCCGTGTTCTCTCCTTCCCCCGTGGGCAGCTGGGGGATGCCCCATGCCCGCCCTGCCAAAGCCCCCACTTACACCCACTTCTGCGCCGTCACGTCAAGCCCAAGAAGCAGCATGAGATCTGGCGCCTGGGCAAGGTGGGTTTCCCAGTTTTCCCCCCTGGTGTCACCTCACGGCTTCTCTGTCAACCCACGGTCCCCTCTCCTCACAGGTATTGCAGCGGCTGAGCCAGGCCACCGGCTGTGAACGTGTGGTGGACGTGGGTGCGGGGCAGGTAGGAAGGGGCTGCTGTGAGGTGATCCTCAGGGATGTCTCCCACACAAGCACGTCTCCTTATCCTCCTGTCCCCCCCCAGGGCCATCTTTCCCGTTTCCTGGCCTTCAGTCTTGGCTTGTCCGTCACTGCTGTGGAGGGTGACGGCCGCCTGGTCAGCCTGGCAGAGCACTTTGACCAGGAGTTGCTGCGGGAGCTGGGGAAAGCCCGGGCACGGGGTGACAGTAGGAGGCTGCCACCTTCCCAACACCACCCAAACGCAGCCCGAGACACTACAGATCCTGCATCCCTTTGTCCCCGATGCCCTCAACACGTGGCTGGCTGGCTGGACCCTCAGGCACCTGGGCAAGAGTTCCTGCTTGCCCCCACTCCAGGGCCAGCCCTCGCTGCCAGGAACCCACTGGCATGGCCTGTGGATAGCGAGCAGGTACTGCTGACTGGGCTTCATGCCTGCGGGGACCTCAGCGTGGCCCTCCTGCGTCACTTCGCCTGCAGCCCCCAGGTGGCTGCTGTCACTTCAGCAGCTTGCTGTTATATGAAACTCTCCACGTGCCCTGAGCCAACTGCTTCCAACCTTCCGGGCTACCCTCTGAGCGCCTGGGTGGCTGGGCTGCCAGGTCACACGCTGTCCTACCGGGCTCGTGAGGCTGCATGCCACGCAGTGGAGGAATACACAGAGCGGCTGCACAGGGACAGCGAATGCTTGCGCATTCATTGCTACCGTGCTGTGCTGGAGACCCTCATCCAGGCAGCTGATCCCAGCAAAAAGCACATGGGAGTGCAGACAATGAAGAAAGCCCACATGCTCAGCTTCCCCGAGTGCGTATGGGGTCGCTTCCCCTTCGATCCCCTCCTGGCATCTTCCTTGGGCACTTGTGGGACTGGCATGGCTTTATCCCATAGGTACGCCCGGCTGGGGCTGTCCCTTGTGGGGCTGGACTCAGCTGCTGTGCCTCTGGATTCAGAGTCGGTGTGCGCCATGCTGTGTCAGCAGCACAAGGTGGTTGCCTTCTTCAGCCTGGTGCTGCTGTTGGCCCCACTGGTGGAGACCCTCATCCTGCTTGATCGCCTCCTGTACCTGCGGGAGCAAGGTGGGTGCTGCCGGGGTGGGGGAGCTGCGGGGAGCTGCAGGTGCCAACCGTCCCTCTGTCCACAGGTTTCCAATGTGCCCTCGTGCCCCTCTTCAACCCCCGGTTCTCCCCACGCAACCTGGTGCTGGTGGCTGCACGGGTGCCACTGGATGCAGTGCTATCAGGCCTGGACAAGGACATCCGTGAGGACGAAGACATGGTGAGGGGTGGAGGCGGGCAGGGGCAGGGCTGAGCCCAGTCGCTGGCTATGAGTCGCTGGCTATGAGCTACAATAAAACCTGCTTTTACACAGCGTGAGGCTTGGACTGAGTGAGCAGGAGGGGAGGAGGCATAGCAGGATAGTCTACATCCTGTCAGCGTGACCCAGAGCTGCCAAAAAGCATCACAGCCATGAAAAATAAAGGGGCATCTTTATTGCAAGCTGCTGCCATTGGAACACAGAATACAGCTTCAGGCCAGGTTTCAAGTAGGATTTAGTACCAGTAGGACTTCTTGGCCCTACGTGTCTCCACAATCCCCATGGCGTCCATGATCTCCTCCTCAAAGGTCTTCAGGGATGGCGTGTAGGTTTTATCCAGTGCATCATCTACCGATGTGTCCTTGGGGCCATCTGGGGGTGGAGGGGACAGAGCTGAGCCTCCAAGCACCTTCTGGATGCTGCAGCTCACAGCCATCCCCCATCCCCTCACCGATCCACTGCTCAGGAACGATGCCATCCCGGCGCTGTCGCAGAGGGAGGGGGATGATACGGCCGGTGCGTAGCGAGACACGGACACGCTCACCTTCCTCTGTGTACCTCCAGTCTACCTCTGTTGGCTTCCTGGTGGGCACAGGATGTGAGAGGGTCAGCACTGAAACCAGCAGAGGGCTCCCCAACTCCCCGTGCGAATTACCGGTCCTCAGGGTCCACCAAGGAGATCTGGTTGAGCAGCAGCGGAGCCTCGCTGGCAATGTAGGTGCTGCTGTACTTGGCATTCCTATTGACATAGCGGTAATGCTGCGGGACAGGGCAGGGTTACGGCTGCTCTGCGCCCATTGGGATGCATCTGGGGTCACCTCCACGCTCGATACTCACCGTGTTCAGCCCTTCCACCACCACCCAGTTACGGGCGCGTACAACTTGGGTGACCATCGCCTGCTTCCCCGCATCCTTCCCGGTCAGCACCTGGACCTGCACAGGGTTAGAGGGAAGGTGGGGGTTCAGCGGGGCTTCCCCCATTCACTTACCCCGGGATTTGTGCCGTGTGCTCACCGTATCACCGCGGAACACCTTCCAATCCTCCCTGCTGATGGGTTCCACGAAGATCTTCTTGCGGCGTAGGCCCGGGGGATTCCGGATGCGTTCGGCTACGGTGCCGGGCCGCCAGGTGCCGTGCCGGTAATCCTTGGGCAGCTTAGGCCGGGCTGCCAGGCTCAGAAGAGCCGATAAGCGCATGGTGCCGGGGCTGAGGGCACCGGACGGGGGTCGAACCCGCAGCGCTGCCCTCCCCACCACGCCCCGCCCTCCGTCCGTCTGTCCGTCCGCCCCTCCCTCCCTTCCCGCCCACACCGCAGCGCCCGCCGGGAGTTGCGCTTCTCTCCCCGCCTCTGGCGCGGTGCATCCCGGGAACAGCCGCGCTTGGGTGGAGGAACCACGTGGGATGCCGCGCGGGGCACGCTGGTAGTTGTAGTTCCAGCTGCCTCCCACGGCCCCCATTGCCCCATAATAGGTCCTGCACAGAGAGGCTCGAGTGAAGCAGCAGCGGGCAGGACGGCTGCGAGCCCAGCTCCGTCTATGGTGCATTTTCTACTACAGCTCCAGCCCCACGGCTCCCCAGCAGTCAAGGCAGCAGCCCAGGGCTCCCATTGCCTCCCTTCAGTTTTTTCCCCTCTTCCAGTTCACCTCCATTCCCATTTGCATTTCCTTCAGGACTCTTGCCGGCACCAAGAACACAAAACGACCCAAAGGGGCCCACAGCAGGAATGGGACCCACAACCCCAGCGGGAAATGCAGGCAGAAGCACTTTAAAAAGGCATGAATCGCTTTTATTTCAAATCAACTGATCAGCCCCCTAGAAATCACTAATACAAAGCATGCGCCCCACGACAGCAGGGCCAGGAGATGCAGGTCGGTTCAGGGGTTCTCATTACTGGGTTTCTCTTCATTTCTTTTTTTTTTTTTTTTTCATTTTTTTTTTTTAATTTCATTTTCTGTTTGTTTCTCGTTTCCGGAGCCGTGGACGTGACGAGGGTGAGATGGGGCAACACCCTGGGAGCCCAGCAGGGAAGGGACAGCGGGAGATCAGCTCGCCAGGGAGGCCACTACAGGCTGCAACGGTCAAGAAGAGACACGGTGATGGACCCCATGGCACCGGGACTCCCACCCTGCTGCCAGGGCTGCTTCCCAGTGCCCACACGGGCAGAAGGGAGCCTGCATTTTGGGGACTGGGATCACCCCGTTCACTGCCCTTACCTCTCCTTGTGGTCTCTGACCTCCTCCGCCTTATCCTTGCCCTCCTGCTTGGCTTCATTGGCGTCTGGCACGCTGGCAGCATCACTGTTCTCCTTCTCCCCTTCGGCTGGGTTGGGCTTCGGCTCCTCCTTGGGGGCCTCTTCGTTGTCTATCTTCTTCTCTGCTTCCTGCCCCTCCATCTCCTTGGTGCGCTTGGGGGAGTCCTGGGTAGGGAGAGATAGGCTCAGCCCAGGCTCAGCCCAGCCCCAGTGCCCCCAGCCACGTCTCCATCCCCTTCCTACCTCCAAAGCATCTTCTGCTTTCCTCTTGATCCCGGCTTTTTCGTTCTTCTCCTTGGATTGCTCGTCAATCACTAGCTTCCCCTCTTCATCGCTGCTGCCCTCTGCGTTGCCCTTCTTCTCCCCATCACCCTCTGGCTCTTGTTCTGGCTCAGCGTCCTCAGAGCAGGTCTTCTTCTGGGTGGGCTGGCAATGGACATGGGGGGCTTAGAGGGGTGGGACAGGACACCCAGAGAGCAGGGCAGGAGGTGGCCACAGAGGGATGTCACCCACCTGGTACCCGGAGGCTTTGACAGTTGGGTTGTGCTCTATTTCCCACAAACCTTCACTGAACCCTTTCCTTTTGTTGGGTTTCCCAAACTTCTCCTTGCATTCTTCATAGGGGAAGAGGTCTTTGGGCCCCAGGAATGCCCTGCTCAGGGGGAAGCAATGAGTAACAGCAGCTGGGAAGGACCTCATTGGCATCACGGCACCCACAGAGACCCAGACCACAGAGAGTGGATCCCATCTATGACCCCACTGACCCCATCCCCCACATGCACCACGGCTCCACTCACGTTTCATGGGTCCCAAAGAAGAAGACTTGGTATTTGTTGGAGGAGGATTTTACTGCAGCTTCTGGCATCTCGTCGATCTGTATGACATGGAGAAAGGGGTGAGGGCTGGGGAGGGCACAGTGACGGGACATCACCCACCGCTTAGAACACGGGTATATGGGCTGTTGTGTGCCACCTTTTGGCCTCATTCCTCAGGAATTCACCCAGCAGCCAGCAGCACCAGGGGCAAAAAACAGCAGATAACACAAAGGTTATGGCAGCCTTGGGCTGGACGGGCACTCCACTGCACCTGGATCCAGCCTGAGCATCACACAGCCTGATGTGAAGATGCATCCCTGTGGCAGCACTGCAGGCACCGGAGGGGACAGCGAGAAGCGGTCGCTGTAAGCTCTTGTCTAGACTGGCTCAGACACATTTAGCTCAGCAAAATCGTGGCTGCACGCAGGAGGAACAGCTCCAACCCAGCTCTTGTGGCAGCGGCCAAAACACCCCAGCTCGCCTGGAGCTCTGCGAGCCCCCAACTCGGCGAGCAGCCAGCACGGCCCCGCCAGCAGGTGCCAATTCACCAAGCGTGAATATTCCCAGTGCACCACGCGGGAGCGGAGCGCAAAGTGGCTCTGGCAGCTTTTTATAGAGTCTAAAAATAACCCCGGCTTGAGCCAGCACGAGCGCAGCCATAAATTCCCAAGGAAGCCTCAAAGGGAGGTGGAAGGAGAGAAGTAGGGTGGGGGGTCTCGAAGTGGAGAAGGGTGGCAGGGTGAGATTGCTGGCTCCAGTGCCGCGTCCTGCTGACGGCGTGCTGCTGACTCATGGCACGACCTTTGCCAGACATCAGTGCTGAGCCTCAGTTTCCCCAGGTGCCATGTTGGTGTGGGGCTCCCACGGGGCTGCCAGTGGGTTGGGTTTTTTTGTTGTTTCCTTCCTCCTGGCACATCTCAGACGTGGCCCTGGAGCAACTTGCAGCACTCAATGCCAGAGCTGGCAGAGGGGGTTCTGTTGGAAATATCCTGAGAAGTCCAAGAGCTGAGGTACAGGGCTGCACCGGGTGACAGTGCTGGCACAGCCCTGGGCTGGGGGTGCCCAGGAGGGATGGGGTGTCTCCATCCAGCACTCCTGGCCGCAAGGACACATTCCATGTGTGGGAGCCCTCTGTTCCCAGCTCCATTTTACAAACACAGCAGAGAAATTGGGGCAGGGATGGAGTGAGCGGCTCCTGACAGTGCAGAGCTTGGCCTCACACCATGATGCTGGACCCTCGCCCACAATGCTGATGGGGCAGAGGAGAAAATCTGATTCAGAGGGCAGCTGGCCAGCCTGCCCAGCCCCACGCTGCAGGACACTCAGACACAGACCATGTTTCCACAGGTCTCTCCTCAGCAGTGGCACCAAAAGCCCCATCAGCTCCAAGGGGAGTGGGTCCAGGTGAGGACCCATCTATCTCCGGTTCTGCCACCCCAATGGCTTCAACTTTTCCCATTCAAAAGGGCCCTTTACAAGTTTACTTCACCCTGCTGAGGATAACACGGTACAGATACAGCTCTGGTGGGGCCGCAACACCTTGCAAGCGGGACCAGATACTTTTTAAACCTCCATCCCTGAAGAGAGGCTGTGCACGTGGTGCTGCGCATGGCAGCTCAGCCCCCAGAGTTCACTCTGTGGGACATCCCCCAGCAGGGACAGGGACCCTATTGTCCCAGAGCCCTGTGGTACACAGTGGCCACATCCATGTACCAGGATCCGTCCTTGGCCAAGGTCGTGGCTGGGCAAAGCAGCATAATGCAGCCTATAGCAGGGACCCCATGGATTTCTGGACACTGTGTAGGTAACCAGAAAGGGCGTGGATTCACATTGTGGGTGGGACCCAACGGGTGGCAGCCTCTTATCTGCCTTTTTTCACCCAACCCTCCCAAAACATCTCTACTCACAGCAGCGGGTGGGGAAGAAGCAGGGGCAGGGAGATAAGGGGGTGTCGTCGAGATAGCCAGACTGGGTGCCAACAGCACAGGTGGGTGCTGGGCCTGTCGGGAAACCCTTCACCATTTGGAGCCCACACGGTGCTCTGCCATAGCACCGATGTCTGTTTGTCCATCCCAGTCCGCTATAAGTCAGGATGGGGTGCCATGGTGTCACCAGCCTGTTCTTTGCACAGGAACCCAGGGGGGGCCAAAAACAAGGGGGTGGGACAGGAGGGACAGCTCTGGAGAACAGCTGGGGCAGGACAAGCACGTACCCCACACGGACTCTGCACTGAACCTTGGCACCTGGACTTTGTAACCGGTGCCTGGAGCCTGGGACAACACATGCAGAGACCCAGCAGTCGCTGGTTTCTGCCTCAGTTTCCCCAGTGATGGAAACAGGATTGTGACTAGGGTGGGGAAGGGGGGATTAACCAGTCAAGACCACAGGGAGGCAGTGCTCATGCATCCCATGTCCTAAGAGACACTGCTGCATCTCAGTGGCATGACGCCAGGCACAGCCCCACAGGTTTCTCTTGTCCCCCTGGGGCAGCCTCAGCTCCTGCTGCCAGCACAGGAGGGCCTCATCCAAGCACACACAGCCCCCACCCACACCCAATACCCAGTGATGGGAGCAGGGCCCTGGGGCAGCATCTGACCAGAGCAACTGACAATAACGGCCTGCGAGCAAGAAAGGTGCTGGGAAGGACCCTGTAGGAAGAGCATAAGGGTGGGCCCTTTGTCCTTACTGCTGGTACCACCTCCCAGCTGTAGTGCCTTAGCTTCCCCTCCAATGCAGCCTCTCCATACAGGCCACACTGAGAGCTTTCTACATATGGGTGTCAATGGAACACGCTCGGTGCTT